AAAAAAAAAAAAAAAATCTATCATTACATCATTCAGTCATACAAATACGCAGTATTTACATTGTTACATGTTGATTCAAGAATCAAGATTCACATGGAGAGAGGCGTGATTAAATGATTTTGTGTGGAATAAATTCTTGCGTAAATGCATAACAGTAACAGAGTGAAATTAGTCTCTTTTACATAGGTGCGCGTGCGAAACCTTGAAATGATATGATAGAGACATTTTTTTTTTCTTTTTTTTTTTGACATGAATTGAACCAAACCTGCATAATCTTCAATTCACTGGTGGAGAAATATATGTTGGCCTCAATGGAAGGTTTCAAAAAAAACAATCAAAAAAGTTTCACAAACAATTTCCCATACTAAAGGTGTAGAACTATATGTATTGTATATCGACAATTTTACTAATCCCCTTTTATGCAACCATGTTCCAATCATTTCGAATGCAAACCACTAGGTCAGTATCGGCACATTTTCTTTAAACGAGAGATAATTATTAGTATCAACACTAATGTATTCACATTTTTCAGGATATTTCTGCATTCAGATCATAAAAATAAATTTGATAGATACAGATGATATAAGTATTAACAGTATTATATGACTAACCATTTTAACTTTGGATCAGTTACCACAGAACCTCTTTTCATGCATCCTATGTATGTTTGTGAATGAGAACGGTCCTTGGCCAGGAGCAGGGAAAGACGATCTGCTCGTGAACAAATAACAGAAAAAATGTTGGGCTAGTGTTTAGAAACTCAAAGTCGAATCAACAAACTTGAAATTTCCTAAAACTATTCACCTGGTCGTAAATATATGTCGTCATCAGCTTTGACATAGAAATCAGACTCATATAGAGCATAAGCAGCTTTGAAGAATGCTAAGCTGTAAAAATGTCACAAAGTCAGAGTATTACCAGAAAGCAAATGTGCATAGAATTCACTTTCAACAAGTCAAAACTAACGTTTTGTATGGCAGATTCGTGTACTCCTCTTCAATATCCAATAGCAGGAAATCATCATATGTGGTAATCTCCTTCTTAAGTGCCGCCATCTTCGATCCATCACCGGTTCTACCGATTACAAACCTAAAGACTAAACCCGTGCTTTCTTCTAACCTAACATCGAGTTCCAAAGCGAAAAATCGAACAAGAATTACAGTCAATATCTGGATACAGTGATACATACAAACCATACATTTACATAAGACAAATGACTGAATTGTGATGTGATGAGAATTTCATCCATAAAATAGAAAACACATTTGAGAAGAACTGTCCGTAGGTACCGTTGAAACCCCTCATGATCGGAGGGGAACCAAGTCTGTCGAAAAGCCCGGCGACGGCCCGCGGACCCAAACCCCGTTTGAATACCCACGAAGCCCATCGCCTTGTGACGCATTTGCGCCTCACCGAAAACGCCGCCACTCTTACTTGTACCAACGCCCGAGGATTTATCCCAAACCACGTACTCCGATAAAGGCTTATCGTATCTGCACCTGCTACCCAGCCCGGCCCGAAAGATCGCGACGAGCCCGAACACGAGGCACGCAAACCCGGCGAGCGAAAAGAGTACCAAAACCGTCGATCGACGGCTGTTCCAGTAATATGGGCGCGCGTGGAACAGCTTGGGAGACGAAGGCATGTTTTTTCAGCTGGGTTTTTCTTTATCCCGACTGCAAATTTCCGTTACCTTTTTGTGCGGGGCTTTGAAGGTTTTTATCAGCCTCCCCCTTTTTTTCCAAATGGATTGTGTTGTTCTTCGTACGTTACAAGGGGAGCTCTGAAAATGGAGTTATGGCAGTAAATGTAGCTATAGATACAACAAACAAATTGTGCATATAGTGTTTACGACGCCATTGAAGAGGCTGTGGAAGGTGGGATGTGAGGTTTCCAAAATGGATGGCAGAATCAGTTTTGAGCACGGGCAATTGAATATGGTGATTCAATTCAATGCAATTGAAATTATTTTCGGGGGAAAATCTTATAAGTTATTATATTGCAAAAGGCTACAATCCTATTATGGAACCGTTTCGCATAACTTGTAACTGTTAGATCATAATATAACCGTCGTGGATAGTTGATCTAATGGTTATAAACCCCGACCGAATGGTTCTGTAACGAGATCTTATAATATCTACACTAGTACGCCAGGCACGGACAAAAATATTAAATGAGTTATTTTCACAGCCTTGTATGTTTAAATCTAAAAAGTAATAATGTTATTATTTATTTTCTACCTCTTTTAATCAATGTTAAGTCTAAAAAATTATTAAGCCGCCCTCTGACAAATATGTATGGAGTTATGCGTTCTTGTCTTATAAGTCACAAACATTATGAATAACATTACAAATTATTCATTCAAACTTTTATTTCATAGCAAATATATTAAAATAGTTTATATTGCATCCATTAAATACCACTTTCAATATATTTATAAATAAAAAGTACGTAAAATTTCTGGTGTGTTCAAATTTAAATAAATTTTTATGGGCTCAATTTTAAATCATCCAGACATTTGGTCAAACGCATAGGTGTATTCAAATTTAAATCATTGGCATTTTGATATGTTGAAATTTAAATCATCTACCATGGTACTATGATGTGTATTATATATATACACAATTTTTTAACAGATAATATGTGCTTTATAATAATAATAATAATAATAATAATAATAATAATAATAATAATAATAATAATAATAATAATAATAATAATAATAATAATTTCACAAGATTTTAAACGTAAAATTTGATTTTTAATCACAATAGAAAAATCATGGTAAGTTGTATTGAAAATGTGTTATGAGATAAAACAATTAAATAAAATAATTAAATAAAATACTTGATGAAAATAGAATGCATTAATTACCTTTGACTTTTCTTACTACTAGTTCTAGTAAATAGAATGCCTTTTTATATAAACTAGTGTGTGGCCCGTGCGATGCACGGGAAAACAATATTACGATTGTGTTATAAATTAAATATACAAATAAACTAATCAAGATTTACCCATTGTTTTTAAATTAAACTTTGTTGGACACAGTCCGACCGGATGGACCGAGAACCGGTTTATAATCAGTCTAGTTCACTTGAATAAAATATTTGCTATTAATCCGTCAACACCAGTCGGTAGAACTGGTTGGGTCGATATGATTTTCTAAATAAATTTAGCTATATTTAAAATTATTTTAAATTAAATTACATATTTAAATAAAATAGAGATTTATAAATTGTTTATCATTAATTTAAACATTTAAATTTTTAAATTGTTTAGCATTTTATTCAATTTATTACAAAAAGTATGATTTATATATATATATAAATCATATATATATATATATATATTAAAGCATATTTTTAAATAAAAAAATTAAATTGTACGATTTTTATAAATTAAATTGTATGATTATATTAAATCATATTTATAAATTAAATTGTATGACTTTTAAAGAAAAAAATAAGAAAAATAATAAAATCACTATTTATGGGCTGCATTAAATGCTGACCTATTTTTTTGCTACTAATTTTAGTAAATAGGATGACTCTTTATATAAGTATAGATATAGATACATCTATTCTATATATATAAAATAAAAATAAAATTAGTTATTTTTATAAAGCATTTTCTATTTTTTTTTTCCAACAACATAACATATTAAACTATAACATAAATTTACGAACGACCAACTAGCCGAACGAAACAACCCAAAAGGCCAGTTTTGTTATGGAACCATCGAATGACATGACTTATGGAGCCATCCAAACTTATTAACAAATAATGAATTGACACGTGTCCTGCAATAAATACACTTTGAGCAAGTGTCAATACATTAAGTGACGGACGACTCCATAAGGAAACCATCCGATGACTCTATAAAATTTATGTCCAAAAGGCTGAAACCAGAAAGGCCTACAAGTCTAGTCGGTTGTAGCCTAGAAGCCTCAACAAGGCTAACAACAACACACAACACCTAGCAACACTAGAAGTTTAGTATGTAAGATTAAGTAAATAATTAGGCAACCGATTTTAGAATTCTCATTTAAGGAGGATTCTTTTTTTTTAGCAGATTTATTAGAATCATTGATTTAGATTAGCATATATTTTATATATACATAAAACTATTTTCGATTTTAATATTCTCATCTATAGAGGATTTTCTTTTTTATTTTATCATGTTTATTAGAATCAATTATTTAGATTGCCAAAGGTAATATACACAAAATACAAGTTTATATGATTATTTATATTTGTTTTGGAGGAAGAATTTGTTATGAGATATATACAAATCCTCTTTTTACGTGAGACATCACAAATTTCTTTTTATGGTATTGTTTCTTACAATTATTTTTAAAAATAAAAGTTTCAAAATTTGTATAGTTAATCATATTTATGTTTTTTGTATTCCCAAAATATAAATACGATGGCATGCCAACGAAAAGAAATTCTTTACGAAAGGCTTTCAAAAAATGGCCATTAATAAAAAAATGTTTACTGTAGAAATTGATAACTCAACTTTTCTGAATAACAAAATTGAATCCGACCCAGAAAAGGACAGATTAATAATTAAGATGGCAAACTGAATGACAATATTATAATTATGATATTTTAGTTATCAAATCTCACGATAATATTCTTGCAGATGTTGTAACAAGAGATTGAGTTGTCTGAATTAGATACAATCGTTAAAAGAGTAAGGCATTTTCGAGAAAATATCGAGGAGGTGGCCAAAAGTTTCAAGCTACTTAGGATTAATGCCCAAGTAGCTTTAAGTGTTCAACAAACCGACCTGGATAAGGTTAAGTCAATGATTAAGGAGACTAGAATGGCGCACACACTGTTGTGAGTCGCACTTCAAGAACCATTTCGAAAGGCAGGTCCACCATTGGTGAATTAAAGTACAGTTCAATAAACTGAGGTTTTAAAAAATCTTAAAAGATATATCAGACACCTCCACTTGGCAAAGCAAACTCTGCTTATGAAAGTTCTTCTTCTTATCTTGAAGAAACTAAGAGTGAGGATTAAAAAAAAAATGACTAGTCAACCAGCACCTCTGTGGTAGAGAGAGAGAGAGAGAGAGAGAGAGAGAGAGAGAGAGAGAGAGAGAGGTCGATTGAGGCCCCATACAGGCCGGAAAAAAGACTGACACTAACAATAATACTAGTTGTTCTACTTCGTTGTAGGAATAGAAGTATACCATGGAGGACTTTGGTGACAAGGAGAGGAATTAAACTTGAATGGTTTATTGTCTGTACATCCGGGCTATACACACGGGTATGGGCATTGGAAGAAGCTAATCCAATCGCAGCAAGTAAGTTAGTGGATTTTGGGGCCATTGCATCAGTATTTACTGTAGTACCATGCTTTAGTGAAATATATGGGTTAACAGAATGGGTTACAAAGGTTGTGTATGATTCATGGTCTTATAATCCATATTTAAAAAGAGAAGAATCTTTAGAGTTCAAGTTTAACTCCATAGCACCAGAACCTGCAAGTGACTATGGAAAGCATGCCACTTTCCATTTTATTAAGTTAAAATTGTCTTAAGGAACCTGAACCGCATCAAGGCACCTAAAGCAATACCATTATGCACCTCCATGTCAGAGGATGAAATTGCTGTGAGAAGGTCATACGGAGTATGGGCATGCCTTACTGAAATGGATAAAGTAAAATGTCGTTCAAAATATTTCAAAATTCTTCGAATGGATCATCTCTACTTAATTCATTAACTGCAACCACTTCGAAATTTGATAACAATATGTTCGAAAACAAAAGAAAGTTCTTGTGGAAAAACAAGTTAGCAACCACTAAGGATGCATGCTATCAGGCGTCTAATATGTTACATGGTTTGAATTGGCACGAGCATGTTTGTCAGCATTGTCCAAGCAAGGAGAAGTCAATGTTCAAAAAACATTAATTTTTTATAAAAATAGAACACATGAAGCAAAAGGATAACCCAAAGAAGAAGAAGAGAAATTCAAAATATTAAAATTCTCCGACTGGTGTAAAGAAAAAGCAAGTCAATAGCGATTTGACACCTATATGAAAAGGGTGAGATAGGATAAAAGGGAAAAATCTTTTTTGAGGAAGAAACAAATAACGAATCGGAGTCGTAAAATAACGCACTTGGGGAAAGTAGAGACCACTCCATGTGAAGGACGACAAAATATATACCACTTTTAATAATGGTGTGGGGGTAATAATTTGGACATAAGGAGCATGTGATTCAAGCAAAGCATCTACGTACAGACAGTGAAAATAATAATAATGTCCCCACCCTCTATAAAAACGAACTTGGAGTAAGCAGAAAGCATCAAACATTCTCTTAAATTTTCTCACTATAATAAAATCTCGTAATAGTTTTTAATAGGCCGAGTGTTAAGATTTGTAAATTTTATTTTCTATAAATCCTATGTGTGTTTGTATTTACGCCTCTACTATGAGAGACTAAAAAATAATTTCTCGTCCCTAAAATAGATTTTTATGCAATAAGTTCTCTTTCAGTTCGTAAAAAAAAAAAACAATAAAGAAGCTTTTGCTTCACAATATGTTGTCGTAATTTTTATTTATCTCCATAATCGAGTCCTTGTACGCCAGGATATGGAAACAAACCAAGACTATACTAAGTGATTTTAAAAAGAG